AATATTTTTTTTTTTTTTAATTATATAAAGATCTTTGCTGAGAGAGAGCCTGATCTGGAGCAGCACAAACAACTCAGCTGCACCATGAAGGGACAGGTGCAGGATTTTTGAACTGTAATAAGAAACTGGCTTCATATTCATGATGGTGAACCCAAATGAAATACGGCTTTAGTGTGAGTGCTGTTTGGGTGAATACATCTTAAACACAATTCACATGGTTGACTGTAAGGCAGGCACATCTCTAGAAGAAGACAGTCCCAAAGCTCCCAAACTTCTGTATCTAGAAGCAATTTCCTGACTCTAAAATAGCTGTGAAGGTCCCAGGTAGACAAGTAAAGCTTCATTTTCTTGAAACCATGAATCAGCTAAACCTAGTTAAACCCCAGAGGACTGGAGTGGGTTAAGAGGATATCATATTCCTTTGAGAGAATCTGACTTACTGTTTGACTTCTGACTTTTTTCTGGATATTCCCTAGACAAGTCAGCGTGATACAGCATTCATAGAGCAGGCAATATGCGTGAATAGGATATGGTGGTTATTCACTGATTTGGGAATGAGCAGCAAGGCTCCTTTGGTAAAGCGCTGAGCTTATGAACTGTTTAGTTCCAGGAGAGGAAGCAAAAGTGGAGCCCAGCTTTACCATCGTACCCACCAGTTTCTCAGCAATTCACATTGTCTGTTCTCTAGTTGTCCTGACTAGACAAGGTCTGTATTGGTGGTGTATGAATTGTGAATGCTCCTCTTCTTCAGTTGTGACACTGGCAAATCTTAACTGTAAGAACAAAAGGCTCATTGTGCAAATGTCCCTTAAAAAGGTGGCCTGAAAGATGGCTTGTAGTTTGTCTTGAGTTCAGAAGCCCAATTCTGGAGTCTCTTTCTATAGGTACAGTTTGTTGACAAAGTTCTGACTATTGCAGTAAGCTGAAAAGGGGTGTGTTTTGCTCTTTACAATTAGGTCTTGTATCAAGAAATCGACCTGAGGAAGAAGATCAGTACTGGCTGAGTATGGGCCGTACTTTCCACAAAGTAACATTAAAAGACAAAATAATTACTGTGACTCGATACCTGCCAAAGTGAGTATCTCTCTGGTCGAGCTGTTTGCTATCAACGTTCAGAGGAATGTGCTTTTCCAGATGTCTGTACTTGCTTGAAAGAACATACTGTGGAACCTTCTTTCTCTTTAGGAGAAGAGAGAGAAGCACTGCTATTGATGATGCTGAGATTATGTTTGCATTTTCTCTTTTAGGTATCCATATGAATCTGCTCAGATAAACTACACTTACAGCTTGTGCCCCTCACACTCTGACTCTGAATTTGTCTCTTGCTGGGTAGAATTTTCCCATGAGAGACTAGAAGAGTACAAGTGGAATTACTTGGATCAGTATATCTGCTCTGCTGGCTCTGAGGATTTCAGGTGAGATCTCTTTTTCCATCCAGACTGTTCTGTGTCCTAATTGCCTCTTTTCCTTTTTGACCTAAAATTTCTTCAACAAGTTCAACCCACAAATGCTCAGTAGTCCAGGGAGAGTAACTGGCCTGCTTTCACTTGTATGGTGCTAGCAGCTGTTGCCATGTAGGAATCTTACTCTGTGTTGCCCTTGCATTGTCTGATCTTTGATACAGAGTCTTGATCACGAAATTCGGCATGAACTTTTTTTTTTCCCCTCCTACAGATGCGAAGAAATATGATGACATTTTGTACCACACAGATGCTTTTCTTGGCTTCTTACTCATTTCTGGATCTGACTCAAAACTTCCATTTAGTTTGAGTCTGTTGGAGGCTCTAAGTCCTAGACTTAGCTTGACTGTAATCCTTCTCCTAAGCTAAGTAGATCAGGGTTTCTTATTAGCAGTGTGGAATATCTCCACTAGTATCAATAGCTTTTTTGATATCTTCTCTCAACAAAACCAGTCTTTCTTTATCTTTTTTTCTTTTCAAGTCTCAATCAAAATACCTCCTACTCTAATGTGTACCTTTAAAATTCCTCTTTCTGTGCTTATTTTTAGAGAAAAAGCCTTTGTAGCTTATCCTTTACAGAAAAGAGCACACATCTCTGTGATACAATTACTCTGAAGATAGCCTTGTTTTCTGTTCTGCATGTCAATGTTTTAATACTTCCCAGTGATACTCATATTGCTGACCATTCCTTTGCCTGTCTGTTCTTTCTCACTTGGGGATAGCAGAATGAGATCATCACTATACTCACTGAAATTTGCAGCAGATAGATACGTATTTTACTTACTGTAAAATCCTTCATAGGAAACTGGGCTGAACTCTGTCCTATCTTCCATGTTCCTTCAGCCTTATTGAGTCACTGAAATTTTGGAGGACTCGTTTTCTGCTTCTGCCTGCCTGCATCAGTGCCACAAAGCGCATTATGGAAGGAGAAGTGCACTGTGATGTGTACGGTGACAGACCTCGTTCTGATGAGGAGGAGTGGCAGCTTCTAGATGGATTCATTCGCTTTGTGGAGGGTTTGAACCGCATTCGTCGACGCCATCGATCTGATCGAATGATTCGAGTGAGTCAGCTTTTAGTTGGGTGAGAAGCTGAGTTTGAGTTTTATCTGAACCATTTGATGAAGCATTGGCAGGGAGACCCTGAGACAATCCGAAGCAAGTTGAGGGATATATGTGTGGGTAATCCATTCATAAAGCACAGTGCTGACTGATGTACTATTTCAGATTTTAAGTAGTATGACCTTGTTAACACCTGTCTATTCTTGAACTAATTAAATTTACCTGGAATGGGTATCCCATGCTGCTGTGGCTGGAACCAGAATCAGAGCAGTAAGCTCACTCAGTGAGAAGCCAAGCTCTCTGCATAGTGTAGCCGTGCCTTAGCCTGCTGGTGCTCTGTTTTTAGCTCAGCTGGTCTTCTCTTACCACAAGCCTTATGCCACCTCTTTGCAAATGCGCATTGCTTTATGCTGTAGGTACAGTTAGCCTGGACACATTACTGCACCTTGTGATGCAGATAGTTGATAAAAAGGGATCTGTGAGGTAGTTAAGCTGGTAACTTCTAGCTGGGTTGGCTGTGTGCTGCAGACTTAGGAAAAGGAGTGTGAAAAGAGAACCATATGGGTGAATTCCTGGTGAACAGTAGTTTCAAGAGGGTGATGAGAAACTGGTTAGTGAGTACCAAATTCCCTTCCAATTCTGACATTGAATGGGGTAATTTATTTCAGAGCAAATTCACCTCTTCCAGAATAACATCCATTTTATTTTGAGAATGGCATGCATGCAACACACTAGGCTGTTCCATTTCTTGGGTACCTGTGGTTTAACTCCCTTTTTAAAGTGTACCTAATAAAGCCCTGCTGACGTGAGGTGTTGTGTTCTTGCTTGCTAGTTAAGCCTAGCTTGACTAAGTCTGTGCTTTAATCTTTTTTTTCTTTGTTAGAAAGGGTCTGCCATGAAAGGCTTGCAGATTGCTGGTCCAATTCCCACCCACTCTCTGGAGCAGTCTGGGCCTCCCATTGGGAAGAAAGGAACCTCAGCACTCTCAGCTCTGCTGCAGATGGAAGCCAGTCAGAAGTGAGTCTCTAAAACTAGGCTGTGTGAAGAGCACTAGAACATCCTTCCTCTTTATTCCACCTGGGGTGGCTAAAGCAGATTTGGGGAACTTTGCCTCAAAAAAAGGGATGTGGGATCCTTCTTCTTTAGTTAGTATCCTTGTGGCAGGGCTGGGGAAATACGGACTTTTCCAGTGACTTGCTTGTATGATGTTTCCGTTAATAGAATGAATACCAAAGACTGGAAAAGAACATGGAGACTAGAGAAGAGAATGTCCAGTAATTTAGAAGGAACATCTTTTAAAGTAGCCTCTCAGTCTATTACACATCAGATTTGTTGTCTGTTTGTGATTTGCCAGTACAGTTGTATCCACATAGGAAGAGCTTAACTGGGACGTAAGTGTACACAGGTACACCACACTAGTTGAGTAGTCTCAGCATAAACATTGGGTAACAAATATAGCCTGAAGAAAATGGCTGGTTTGCACTGATAACATCTATTAAAATACCTGTGAAACTTCTGAGGTTCTTTTTCAGTATTGATCTAGAATGGTTCAAAGAAACTCAGAGTACTGACATCAGATAAGCTGTAAACACAATTTAAAACATTGTTGCTGTTAAATACATAAGATATTGAAATATTTTTTAATTATAAGGTCGTATGACACATGCATAATAAAACTACGGAAGTTCAAGGCTCCACGTTGTTTATGTGGGATAAAAAAGTACTTACAGAAGACTGGATTGACTCTGTGCTTCAAAGCGTGGGAAAGCAAATGTCTGAAAATACAGTAGTAGCCCTCTTGCAACGGTTACCTTCAGGTGGAAGCTGACACAGAGTGTGTTTGAACAAACTCTGGATTCCTTCCTTTTGTTTTAGGACACTAGGGGAGCAGCAAGCAGCAATGCTTTCTGGGAAGAGCTCTGGGCAGCCTTCGGAGAGTGGTAGCATTGCTATCACACCCACCTATATGGACAGCCCTCGTAAGGTAAAGACTTTCTGGTCTTTCTTTAGCTACTGTTTTTACGTAAGAATTTGTCAAATAATAGAAGATTATTTCTCTAAGCACGGGGCTACATCATACCACATCTTACTCTGTAATCCAGCCCAGCAAGGACTGGTCCTGTACTGGGGATGCCCTTAAGCCTTTGTGTGCAAGGGCATAAGAAGAGGTTGGGAAACAACCGTCCTTCAATTCTTTAACACTGTGACAATGAGATGGAATCCCTGGGGTGCTATCTCAGTGTGTTTTGCTAATTTAAGTGGTATTTGTTAATTAGTTATTTCCTTTTCTGGTAGCACATTTCATTTCAGTCAGGGTTTGATTTTTAGATTTAGTAGTACAGTGCTGTCTGCATCTATATGAAGGCTGTCTTTAAGAGCAAAATCAAGCTCTAGACCGTGACTGTGAAGCTTCAGTAGAATTTTAACAGCAGGAACTCCAGTCACTTGCATTTGCTTAAAGGGGAGGATGTGTTCCTGAGTAGTGATTTAGATGTCATTCCTTCACTGGCTGGACTCCAGGCTGGAGAAAACTGTCTTCCTGGAGCTCTTTTCAGACACTCAGAGAAAAGACTGTGCTATCTCTCAGCCTTCCTGTCAAGTGTCCTGTGAGTGCCAGGAGAGCAGAAACTCCACCTCCCAAGTCCAACCAGAAATATTTGATTATTTTTCTGCGTTCTGGCATGAAGGTCTTACAGCAGAAGTAACAACAAACTGAACTAAGATACAACACTTGTGTGGCCTGTCTTTGGGTTCAACAGCTGAACTATTGCAAAGAAAAAGTTCTCAGATTCCCCACTGTCAACTTAACCATCTCTTTCAGTGTTTTTCTCTTAGCATCTAGTGTTTTGACATCTGCCCTTTTCTGCCACCACCAGGGGCAAGTATTGTGTTATTCTGGAAATGTGGATATTGCTAGTTGAAGTGAAAGAGTAATTGCAATCATCTTAGTAATAGACACTTATTTGTAGAATGAGAGTGTTTCCAAAACACAGATGAGATTCTGGAGCAGGTCATGCTAGGCTTGGAAAATGTCAGTGCAGAAATTGATTTGAGGCATGTTTGCAAACTTCCAGATCATAATTCAGGCTTTACATTCTCTTCTACCATTTTGGAAAAATCAACTTCATCAAACTTCCCCCTTTAAATATAGAAATTGTAAATATCTCTTTCTACCAGTAAAACTGGTGAAAATTCCATGTAGGACACAGAAAAGGAGAATGTTGTGCCTGGTTGTTCTGGGTGGCAGAGGGTAAAAGGCAAAATTGTCTTCCGTAGGGACGGCACACTAGTGTGTTGGAAGCAAAGTAGCAGCCTTTGTGCTACCAGTAGATGCGATCATGTGTAATTTTAAAAGTAACTATATTTAAAAGCCTCTCTGGAGGGCTAAGTGGAGAATCTGGAAGAGTGTGTTACCAATTGAAGCCTTTCACACTACAGTAGTAAACACTCCTATGAAAATTTATACATAGGAACTGGGAGAGAAGCAATTGGGATTTCCAAATTGACGGCTCACACTTGTCGGAAAGGTGCGATGGACAGGTCGCCTTACCAGGCAGCTTTGTGCTCGCTTGGAAACATCAGCAAGTTTCATGTTTCCAGGACAACACAACCCCTTTAGGGCCCACCAGCATGGGTATGTCTAATTGGCTGTCCGGAGACTTGCAGCCAGAGTAGTGACAAATAGTCACAACTGTGTGCTCTGTCAGCAGCCAAGGGAGCAAGTGCTTTTCTAGGATGCTATTCGGTGCTGGAGTTACTCTGAAACAAAACTGAGCCACTGACTCCACCTTTAGTCAGTTCTACTCTGAAACAGAGAAGTCACTTCAGCCAGTTACTGGGCAATACCATATGATTTTTAACACAGTGACATAGCTTGATCCATAGTGCGTTTGGGAAGTCTTTGCCCTTATGGATACAGGGTGCTTGACCCTGCTTCTGCACTGTGTAAATTGCCAGCCATATAACCCTGGCATTGATTCTTTCCAGAAAATGTTTTTTGTGTACGTACCAGGGTAAGCATCATCTTAACTGCAGGCTAGACAAAATATTTTGCCTAGGGGACAGAATAAAGAATTGCAAATAGGGAATGAAAATCTAGTTGAGTTCCACTGCATTGTCTTATGTGATAAGAGAATCTTGACACATCTTTGAATAGCAACTGGGGATAAATTCATTCAGGGTTTGCAAGTAGGTGGGAAACATAGCACAGGCAGTATCTGTTTAATTTTGCATGAAGTATTAAACACAAGGTTGGAAAGATCTTTGTGATTAATTTTTCTTCCCTTTCCTTCACACCATACCAGACCTGCATTTGAGAGGAAGAGTGTTCTTCCTAAAAAGAGCTTCTTTGCATCTCTTTCTTTATCATTTGAATGACTGACAGACTAGAAAAAAAGCTGTCCTCCTTTGAGTGTTTGCAATTACACATGCAGTTCTGCAGGTTCCCGTATCACTGTTCAGCTTTGCATTTGGGATGGAAACCTACCTGCTTTAGAGCTTGAGTCTTTCTCCTGTGAAGTGTGGAGAGAAGGGTGTAGTTTCAATTGGCTTCTGATCAGTGTGATTTTCAAAACTTTGGAAAAGCATCTGTGCTAAGGAAGAGCAATGTCTTGTTACAGAGAGAGAAAGTAAGGGTGTGTGTGAATAACTCCTGGTGCTCTGCATTCTGCTGCATCTGATGTTCTGGGTCTGTTTGGGATTTGCATTCTCCTCATACTTTCTCTCTGTGGTCATTTCATACTTGCAACCTTGTATTTGCTTTTGTTCAACTCCTTGTTCCTGTTGCTGTTGCCATTAATGGGCCTACTTCCTCTGATGCCTTCAGGATGGGGCCTTCTTTATGGATTTTGTTCGCAGCCCACGTACAGCTTCAACCTTCTACTCACAGGTTAGTTTTGAATGGGGTCTTGTCATCTCTGGCTTTTGGACTGAGGTGATGGAGAGCATTTATTGTCCTGAGCTTGCCACCTGGGAAACCTGTGTTAGTTTCCAGATCTGATCGTTGAGAGGGAGTTGCGTGGCATTAGCAGGACAAAGTGTGGCTGGTGGTGGTGGATGCCACTATTTCCTTCCACCATTCAGTTTGTGATGTGCTTTGGATGTTCATGTGCCCTGCCTTACTGTGCTTTGCAGTACTGTCTTGTCAACTACTGAAGCTTCTCTCTTTCTGTGTTTCAGTAAGTACTCGTTTTCCATCTTCCCTTGCTAAACAAAATGGCAACAGCTTACTCGTCTTGTTCTTGGCTAAATTTTTTCTGTGGTATTTGACTGACAACTGGCTCTGGGGAGATCCAAGTCAAATTGTGTCCTTGGATTCTTAAACAACTGAGGGCTGAAAATATTGGTGTCATCTTGGTTTAAAAGAGTCATTGTGACAGAAGTTGTTTGTACACTTAATACCAGTTAGGAGTTAGCAATAACACAGTGTGTCCAGAGAAAATACTGCTGGTTGAAGTGAGCTCTGAGGAGGAAGAGTCGATTTAGTTGGCTGTGGGGACTCTAGGTTCCATGTTGGAGCATCTGCCGTTTTTGGCTGCCCAGAAAGGGACATCTGCCATTGCAGACAGAGAGAGATCTTTGGGATGTGAGAAATGGCATAAATAAAGGACTCTGCTCTGGCTATCAGACCTAAGTCAAACTACCAGCTTTGTGATTTTTAGCTGTGCATGTGCTGTGGATTCGTCATGGCAGAGCAGCCCTCGTATTTACACCAGCTTGAGTGACTGGGTTACTCTGCTGTTCGTGTTCCTCTCCCCCACCTCTCTAGCTTTTATATAATATGCCTTTCCTAAACCATACGTGTTAATGACAGATGGCAATTACAGCCTGTACTTTGCTGAATCTTTCAGCATTCATGTTCTCTCTGAAATGATTTTATGTTAATTTTGTGAACTATTCAGTCTACCGTTGGAATAGCGCAAGTGTTCCTGCGGGAGGAAAGTGTTCTTGTTGTCTTGGCGACATAGGTGTGGGTGGGTGCCAACCAGCCTCCTGATACTACCCTAAGAAAGGAAGGAAGATGAGCTGATTTTGTGCATTATGAAACTTGAATTCCATGTGATGGATTTGCATATTTTTGTCTGAGTTAATGTTGAAACTATTTTTTCTAACTGCTTACTACTTTCTTGTAGTGATTAAGTTTCTTGTTCTGTCCATTTCATGTTTATAATCACAGTTATTCACTCAAGTTGAAAATGTCAGGTTGGGACTGGTGTTGCTGGTTTCTCAGTAGTTCTCTCCACACTGTTGTCGCTGGGCTGGTGATCCTAATCTTTATTGGGGTCAGAATTTCATGTTTGTCAGTAGCTTTGAAGTGATGACAAAAGTAAGACTGTATTTATCCTTTCTGCATATGCTTGTGCTTGCCTTATAGTATTGCTTGTTGTTAACTAACTTGAGCTGAGGTACAGATGATGCGGGGAGGGGAGGAAATGGGAAACATATTACATCATAAATTTCAGAAAGATGTTGCTGTGTTTACTCCTTGCAGGTCTCTATAGATCAATCAGTTCCCGCAACCTCAGATGGCAACACGTTGATAAACACAGGGCAGTTACCTGAGAGGGGCAGCTCACAGACCTTGGGAAGCTCCCAGAACATTGCCGACCAAGGATATACCACAGCTGGTGCTGCAGAGGGCGGGTAAGAAAAGCACAGCAGTGCTACACTGCAGTTCTGTTCAGTTACACTCCCCTTTCTCATGTCAAGGAAGGAGCACTTAAACAGGAACCCGAGAACAAAATGTGCTGTGTCTGTCAGCACTAGAAGGCACTTGTCACAAGACCTTACTGCAGCTTTTCCACGTGCAGGAAGATCGGTAGTAAAATAAGCCTTGCAACCCAGTTTTCCAGAATTAAATGAACACAAGGCCTGATTTCCCCACCCACAAAAAAAGCTTCGTTCTTCAAGAAATGAAGAACGAAGAAATTCCTTTTCTGAAATATGTTAGCAGAAAGCCAGGCTTTGAATTGACATCTGTCTTCTGTCTGTTTTAGCCAAGGGGGGCCCTGCAGGTCTAATTGGATCGAGTAGGCTGATGAAATCCAAGAGATTCTAACCTGGAGGCAAGACACTGGGGAGGAAGCAACATTAAAAATAAACTATATTAGCACCTGTTTCCTGCAGTTGTATATTAGAGTTTAAAAAAAAAAAAAGCCGACCTCAAAATGTTTGCTCTCAATTGCTCCTGAGTACGGCTGTATGTAATATAGCAATGACCTGATGACCTCAGGGGGAAAATACAGGTCTGATGCTTTTACTTGTCCTTCTTGAGATGAAAAAGGAAATAAATGTGGCAAAGTCGTTGTTGGAAAGAGGAGGGAGAGCATTTTTCTTAAAAGTACATATTTGAACAAATCTGGCAGCTTGCTTGATTTTTGAACATGCTTCTGTTTGCTTCCCAGCTCTCAGCAGTGTTCAGCAAGCACTCTGACTTCCTCCTCCACCTTGATAGAGATTCTCGAAGCCATGAAACACCCCACGTAAGTTTTTAATATAAATATGCTTAACATCTGTCTAGATGTTTTGTAAGAGGACATGAGGCGTGGAGTCACTCAAAGGAGAGCCCCATGTCAGCTGTGGAAGAGTTTTAAGCTTCCTTTTATTATTCAGTTCTAGTCTCTCCAACAAGGGATTTTATAGAAAAATTCTCAGTAAGGCACTAAATTGCTGTCAATGTCAGCTCTTTATGTTGTTATCAGAAGCTAATGATATGTCACTCTGGGGGCATTGTGCATTTATTGTCTTGTATCTTTATCCCCCTTGTTTTTTCCCCAGCAGTGATTTTTGCCTTTGTAACTTAAAAGGGCTATCGATCAGTCCGTGTTAACATGTGTGACTTGCTGTGCTTCAGCACAGGGATCCAGCTGCTCTCTGAACAGAAGGGCCTCTCTCCGTACTGCTTCATCAGTGCAGAAGTTGTACACTGGCTGGTGAATAATGTGGAAGGTGTGCAAACCCAAGCCATGGCGATTGACATAATGCAAGTAAGACAACTATCAAGGATATATGGAAGGCCAGAAATACCTCACTCTGTGAAGAAAGTAGAATTGTAGAGGAAAGCATAGCAATAATTTATGTTTCTTATTAAAAATCCTGTTATTGGTAGGTATTGAAAACAGTGTTCAACAGAATATGAGGTAACGATGACATTTTTTGGATTCCCTATCACAAAACAGGAACATATTCTTCAGTAGTAATATATGTTATTTTTTCCCGCTTATATATGATGACAGTTCTGTGTATAACCTCCAATTAGCTTGTAGTTACCAAGAACTCTCCATTGTGTTAGAATTATGAGGCACTACAGTGTGATTTGGTCTTGGTTTTAGTTTTGTTTTTTTTTTTCCTGATAGTTAAGTTGTAATAAAACCAGCGTATGACCTCTCTTTTTATGGATGCTGAAGTATACACGCTTTGTGCAAGATACAGTGCTTGTGTTCATAATTTTTTTTTTCTTCCCTATCGAACTGTGTCAGGGGCAGAAGGTTGGAAATGTTTTGGAGTTCATTCCTCTGTGGAGATCCCATATCAATTAACAGAGAACCTAGAATTTTTCCAACCTCTTACCTTCCTATAAATCCATCTATAAAACCAGAGCAGGGTAAGAGAGGAAGGCAGACATCTGCAGAAAGGTCAAATGCAATTTCTCAGGGAGATAAGGACTTGCTGCATTTACTGAGTATCAAGAGATAACTTTGCTGATATCCTCGTTAGGCACATATCTAGAAAAAAGATGTCAAGAAAAAGAAAATAATTTCCGAATGTTATCTAACAATCTTTTTATGTAACTGGAAAAGTGACTTCTCCTTTTTTTATCATGTTTGCTCTGTTATCTTTTTTGTTCAGAAAATGCTAGAAGAGCAGCTTATTGTCCATGCATCTGGAGAAGCTTTACGAACCTTTATTTATGGCTTTTATTTTTACAAGATTGTTGTGGACAAAGAACCAGACCGAGGTCAGCATTGTGTTATTACAAGACTTTCCTCATTATCCCTTTGCATAATCACTCGCTGTACTTGTTTCTTATGGGTGCTGCAGCAGAAATGCATTTTGGGAGCAACCAAAAACACTGCTTTAAAGAGCGTCAAAGAAATTCAGACTTTTTGGTTTAAAAAAAAAAAAAAAAAAGGAATTGCAGACAACATAACCTAATTTTTTTTTCCCTTCCTTTTTTTTCAGAAAGAACTACATCTCTGTCTTGATCTTGAACACTTGTTTCTAACTGTGATCTGTGCTTCCCCTTCCTTTTTGTTCAGTGGGCATGCAGCAGCCTGCCATGTGGCACACAGCTGCCATGGATGACTTCTCCGCCTTCCAGAGGAAATGGTTTGAGGTGGCATTTGTGGCAGAAGAGCTCCTGCACTCGGAAATCCCAGCGTTTTTCCTGCCCTGGCTGCCCAGCCGCCCAGCCTCCTATGCAAGTAGGCACAGTTCCTTTAGCCGCAGTTTCGGAGGACGGAGCCAGGCAGCTGCACTATTAGGTAGATGCACAGCACAGGTGACAGCTGGGGAAGTTCAAGGGGATAGTTTGAAAGGGGAAGAGCAGCCAGCCAAGGGTATGATCTCACGTGGACCAGCAATAAAGCTGCAAATTTCATGCTGGCCTTACATGTGTCTTGCATGTGGACTCATTCTCATATGCTGAAGGTGTGTTTCACTGGCTGAGCAGGCAATTTTTGCTTCTGAGTACTGGAATACAGTAAAAAGTATTCTTTAAATATTACTTGTTCCTGAACCTCCCCCCCCATGCCATCCTCTAGAATTTGGAAAGGAAAATACTGACTTTGTCTCCTTGCAGATCTAGAGAGACTCTTCACAACCCGAGATGAGTACAGAGGCATAAGTTGTGACAAAAGCAGAGCAACCAACCTGTACTTAAAAAGACATATCTAATTGCTTCTTAATGGCAAAAACCACAGTGAGATCCAGATGCATTAGAAGTTTTCTGTGATGTGCTGGAGGCTTCTCTGCTAATCTGAACCATGTATATAGCCAGACTCCTTATATTAAAGTCTGGGAAGCCCAGCTACAAATGATCCCTGCAATGTGGAAGCAGTAAGGTTTGCGTATGAAAGATCTTGCTGCCAAGCAAGATACTGTTATAGTATCTAAAGTTCTCTAATGTGTGAAGTATAACACTGACTACCACTAACAGCCCGTGAAACATACTGGCTGCATGATTGACTGTGTTGCTTTGTCAGCTTTTTGTTGCATTTCCAGGCCAGCCTGAGTCACTTGCTTTTGTTCCTCTTTCCTTGTTTAAAATTATGAGAAAAATAATTGCTATGGAAGTGCAACTTCAGATTTATTTAGATACATCTTTTAAAGGCCTATCAATTAAAGATGAAAAGAAAATTCTGCTGTTCTCCTGTTTTGTACATTTGACCTCCTGAAGAGAAGTGACTTGCTGCTGGTGTAGTATCTCTTAAACCTGAAGTTACAGTAATCCTTGTGTATTTCTGAAAGCCTTGTTTGAAGAGGAACAGCATCAGAAATGGGAAGGTGTTAAGGTTAGGAAGTCCGAACTAATGGTTAATTCCCTGAAGCCAACATATGCAGGATATTTTTCCATCACACGATAAATCTGTTGCCTTGGCTGGTATCCAGCCTCATTAGCTCAATGATTGGCCAGAGCTGAAGCCTGAACGGAGGCTGGCATGAAACTGTTGTGGAGGCTGGAGGCACTTGGGCCAGATCCTGTTCCTGCTTTGATCTCTTACTCACTATTTAGTCCAAGAAAACCAGTTCACTTTTCTATGTCTGTTCTCTTTTGTGAGATGAGAAGACTAAGACTCAGTAAGCTTGCTTTAGTGTGACCTTCTCACCTTTAACACCAGCCAGGAAAGAATGTATTCCCTCAGCAGGTGACGTAGTTACACACCTGTGTAGCCCTCCTTTTTCATTTCAGTTGGAATTATGTCCGTTTTACTATTTAACTAATTTGCAGTCCTTGGATGAATGAAAAATGCCTCCAGATTGCTCATATGCAGTCTGGTTATTCCAGGAATAATAGTTTCTTGGAGAAAAATCCAGCGTGGAACTTTTTTCTTACAAAGGAACTGGTTTAATTGTTGTTTCTGTGCTGTCCCTCTTCTAAACAGTATTCCAAAAAAACTTCACCAGTTCATCTGAGGCAAGGAGCTTTACTAAACCCAGATGACCTCTGGTCCACGTGACTTCATTTGTTCCTCTCTTGGCTTTGATTTGGTTGTGGTTTTCGTTTCTTCCCCTCCCCACCTTCCCTAAATGTCAGGCTGTGACATAAAATTGCATGCAAGCATTGGGAGCTCTGGAACAAGCTCCATGTATCTCTAAAATCTTTATCCCTCCCAATTCCCCTATCACTTGTCCAGTGATTGTCCCCTTTCCCTTCGCAGTGGAAGTCTGATCTGTGATATACCTAATCTTGTCCCTTTTGATTTATAGCAATGCATGCAGTAGCAACTGTAGTCATGTATGTAGTGTAGTCTGTGACTGGAGAATAACCTGCCTGCTCCGCTCCGATTTACTCAATAAATCATTAGTTAAATACTCAATGGTACAAGACAATTGGGAAGCAGGTGAGTCCTCTTAAAATCAGATCTACGGAAACCAGAGTTTCTTCTGTTAAAATCAAGTTGATTTTAATCTGAAGCTTCTGAATTCAGATGCATGGATGTTTCTTATCAGTTTGTAAGGTCCTTTTGATTAGCTCACCTGGTTGGACTGTGTTCCTGTTGCTTTACCTGTGAATTACAGCTGCAGACAAGGTGGAGAAAGAAGCTCCAGCCCTAATGGGGAGTCTGCCTTATCTGGAAAAAGGAACAGTCTAAGGGAGCAGGGAGCTCATTCTTCACAGTGTGCTGGTTTGGGCACACTGGACTGTGGTGTTATCACTGACCTCTTAGCTAATGACCAACATCTACCTGACTGAGCTGCTTTCACTTTACAGCTTTGGGGATGTTGTTTTCCAACATATTTCGTTACAAAACTGGCACCGTAACCTTCTAACCACAAGCATTGCATTCACAGAGATATTCACTGAAAAGGAGCAAGAAAAAGAAAATCACAAGATGTTGGTCTGTCTGACAACACCAGACAAACCCAGAAACTGCATATGATACATTTCCTAAAGACAAAAATGGATCTTATTTACAAAACAAAACTGGCTGATGTTCTTCCATTTTTATTGGGTTTTTTGTTTTTTTCCTCCTGTTCCTAAGCTGCAGTAGTAGCAATATAAAGGATTTTCTTATAATCTTGAAAACTATCTCTAGCTAACTTGCAGTAGAAGTGAAGGTGGGAACTTTCCATCCACCTTGAGAAAGAACTTCAGCTAATTTTTTTTTAAAATGCCATTAAGCCATTAAATTATAAGGTCATTTAAAAGCTGACTGTATAAAAAGGTGCACATCTTCGTCTACTTAAGCAAGAAATAACCACATCTATTCCCTCATGCACGCAATAAAAGGGCAAAGGTTTTTTAATAGTAGTTATTGCAGCCCTTTTTTGTGTCCATTTTTAACATTATAGGAATGTAAAATTATGTATTTGCCTAAAGAAAAGTTGAAAGTGACAACGTGGTTCATAGCAGGACTTTGGTCTCAAAGTCAGGAGATCTGGGTTCTATCCCTGGCTTTGCAGTCCGCTGTGTGACACCAGCCAGGTCACTTCCACTTTCTGTGCTTTTCTTCCTCTCTTGCCTGATATCTGATATTTTCTTTCTGAGGGATGCTGGGGTGTAGGGCACAAAGGGAGCTGGATCTTGGGCGCTATCCCAGCACTTATTGCAAAGCAATAGAAGGTATTGCAGTGATGGTAATGCTGCTGCATGAGTCTTGGCTGACTTTTCATGCTTTTACAAAAAGTGTTGGATGTGCAGTTTTAGCAATGTGTGGTAATGTGGGATATTGATAGGGGGTTAAAGAAACAAGAAGTTTAACTTCTAATCTCCTTTAGCTGTGGAAAGTCCTGGAATGCGCCTGCCCCGTGTAACAGCACCCTGTTGTGATTTCTGGTGGGGGCCATACAGAAATATTAAAAACAATTTCATGTGTCTTGGATACGAAGGAGCTGATGTTGTCTAGCCATATTTAATTATGGCACCAGTCGCTTATTGATTAGGTGCTTGACTCTTGGTTCTGTCTCTTTATTGCAGCGGAAATGTCTTTTGACTACTTGGGGAGGTAATTCTGTGGCATAGACCCATGATATGAGTAATACTTCAGGTTTTTTTGTCTTTTGTGATCTGGATGATCAGCATTCTGGGACTATTCTGCTAGCCCAAAAATATTTGGGGAGCAGTGGGAGGAGAAATTGATTTCAAATAGCTTGTCTTGTTTCTTCTGTTCTCTTCATCCTGTCTCCCACCCTGTCTTTAATGCATCTTTTAAATGTACCCCTATTCCTTGGCTGCGTAGCTGCCACAGTGCCTGAGCAACGGACAGTGACGCTTGATGTGGATGTGAATAACCGCACTGACCGTTTGGAGTGGTGCAGTTGTTATTACCATGGCAATTTCTCCCTGAATGCTGCCTTTGAAATCAAGTTACACTGGATGGCAGTGACTGCAGCTGTTCTTTTTGAGATGGTAAGAGTCCTTGTGTTCTGGGTGGCCGCAGCAATGCCTGTCTGGTCTCTGTATCCCTTAGACTACTGGGGACATTGTCATGGGAAGTATTAGGAGAGAGACAGTGGGTTGGATGTGCCCTGATTTCCGTAAGTAATTTTACTGGTGGTTGTTAACATTGCTGCATCTGGTCATCATTTATCATGCTATCTCTAGTCATTCTGTCTGCAGGATAGTGTTTAACATTGCTGCATCTGGTCATCATTTATCCTGCTATCTATAGTCATTCTGTCTGCAGGATAGTGTGTTGCTTTTCGTGGGTTTCATGCACAGTATGCAGAGATCAGTGCAGGTCAAGGTGATAAATTTAAGTCCCCCTCAGGCAAATCTTAAGCCCTGAGATGGGTCTTTGGAAAAGAATCTATTTCACATTGCATGCCTTCTATTCCCAAACCTGAAAACTTTAAATCTCAGTGGAATTGCTTTCATGACGGGACTTTTCCAGGCAATGTATTCTTCCTGTTCAGCTTTTTAGCTTTTTTTTTTTGAAAAAAAACTTGTTGAAAACATTTTGAATTGAAAATGTAAGTGGTCTGTGTCACTTACTAATTCTTAGACTTTTTTTTTTGCTGTTTTCCCCTTTGTAGGTTCTGTAAAACTCAAATTATTTAACACCAGGTTTTATCTCGCCCAGCTAGATAGCACTAGGTGGTTGGGTTTGCTTTTATTTAAAATCTATTGCACTGTTCCAGTAAAGCAGCAGTGCTTAGCCACTTATGATAAGTAGGCTGAATCAGTTCCTGAAAAAAGTCCTATTTTAAAGTGCTTTCTGATTGATGTGGCACTTCAAAAAGGAAAGCCTGATGTCTTGTGTTTGTACTGCTTTGCTTACAAGGATGCTTGTGTGCTTGCCATGCAAAGCAAGCTGAGCCTGTGGAGAATTGAGCATGTCTGATCTATTCTCGGGGAATGAGTTGCTCCTATGCACATAAGTGCCCTTCTTCAGTGTGACATATGTCATATGATTCATTGTTTGAATCTTTTTCTCAGGTTCAGGGTTGGCATCGGAAAGCCACATCTTGTGGTTTCTTGCTAGTTCCAGTCTTGGAAGGCCCATTTGCTTTGCCCAGTTACTTATACGGAGACCCACTTCGAGCTCAGTTGTTCATCCCGCTCAATGTTAGCTGTTTATTGAAGGAGGGTAGTGAGCATTTGTTTGACGGTAAGAAATGTTCTTTGTTTTACCTCTTGGTATACTTTTCTGCAAGCAGGTCCCTTCTGGCATGTAGCTGACATGAACAGCCTCATTTACCAGACACGCATTAGCTGGATGCTGTTTTTACATTTTAGCAGCCACCCTCAGGAAGGTGGTGCTTGGAGGAAGCTGTGCTGGCAGGCTCATCAGCATGCAACAGTGTATGAGGTTGGCAGCAACAAGTACCAAGGCACAGGAAAGGTTGCCTCCCCAGTGATCTTTGTTGCCATAATGTTGTATACCCTTATAGAGCCTATATCAAGTAGTTATTCTCTTTGACATGGCATTATACTGTAAGAGTCTGTTTTGCTGGTAGACTCTGCCCACAGCTGCTCTGCATTTCTATCCTGCATTTGTTTATTCTCCCCCTCAGTGAGATGAGGCTTTCGTGACTGCCATCCTCTTTTTTTTGTTGTTGCCATGGTTACATTCACGATAAGAGTGTTTGCACATGAGATTAAGAACTAGAAACTGCAATCTCCTTTTCTGCAATGTGACCTCGCCCTTTTGAGTGATGCTGTTGTGGTAAGCCTCAGGTGGCAGCTCAAAGATCAGAGAACTCTGTCCCCATGCAGAGAGATGCAAAACTGCATTGTGAGGAGGGGCAATTAGCAAAAGGCTCTGTTTTAAAATAGTCAAGATGATGGTTTTCTTTATTTTCATTAATCCTTGACCCAATGTCCAGGTGTAAACGTAAAACAATTGGTGACAAATCCATATGCTGTGAGGTCACCATAGCTGCACTGACTTTGAACTAAGTATTTTCAGAGCACTCTGTGGTGATACACAGCAGCCCACTCTCCTTCCTTGCCCCGTCTCACGCACCCCATTATGTTCCTTTTCTTCATCTCAAGAGACAGAAAAGCTAAATTCAGGGACGAACCTGCTACTGGAGTGTACAGGACACTTCTCTAATAAGATGGCATTCAAGGGACAGCTGACAGAAAAAAATATAACTAAAAGAAATGGATAGAAAAAACAAAGTGCATAGAGGTCTTCCGAGGAAAACTGAAGTCTTGAAAAAGAAGGAAATAAAGTGGCTTTACTGGGTAGTTGTTACCTTTTTCTTTGTTTCAGGCTTTGAACCAGAAACATACTGGGACCGTATGCATCTCCTCCAGGAAGCAATAGCACACAGGTATGTACAGAGCAGAGTGACTGAAAGGTTCGTATCTTCCTGCATAATGTAGGATGAAGACCTATGCTGAACAGTCACTCCCGAGTCGCGTGGGTTCTGTGCCGTCTGCCCCTCTGAAGTCTGCTTGCGGATTATTAGACTAAAATATAACTAGAATGGGTGGAGGTGGTTCTGTGGGTGCAAGGGGCAGGTAGATTGTGTTTCAGCCTGTCACTCATTAGCAAACCATACTCTCCTCCTAGGGAGGGCATTGCCTTTGGAAGGTGCTCTGTTATTCTAAGTTAGAAGATAGACTGTAGTAGATGTCTTTATGTGAAAGGACAGTTATTTCCTTCATGTGTACTTAACACAGTTTTGAACTGGATGACAACCAATGATTGACAATAGGCAGGAGACTGGGATGTGAGCTATACATAGGAGGTTGGGCCCAGTTTAAGAAGGAATTGTTGGAAACTTTGAATACTATCTAGCCTTACCCCTTTGTGGTTTGAGCTGCCAGTTTGTTTAACGGTGCTGCTGCCAAGGTCTTTTTCATGACAGAGAGACTGCCTTTTGTAATGGCCTTTAGCTTAGAAATAAACTTTCGTTAGCTTAGGTGCTCCTGATTGGGCTGGAGGAATCCTAGCTGGAGTGTCTCTTGGTTTTTTTTTGGGTTTGTTTTTTTTTTTTAATTCTCCTGGTGTTTGTTTCTCCAGATTTGGATTTGTGCAAGATAAATACTCAGCCTCTGCATTCAACTTCCCAGCTGAGAACAAGCCCCAGTATATCCATGTCACAGGTGAGCACTATTTGGCAGGCACTGGGGCAAAGAATAAACAAAAAGAACCATTTATATGCAGTTTGTGTTTTGTCAGTGATACTGGTCCTCATTATGTCCCTAGTTAGACAATAAGTAGGTATATCAGCCAACACTAACCAGAAAACTGGAGAGGCAGTACGAAAAGCACAAAGTGTTGCTGCTAATCAGTGGCATCGATTTGAAATCTTGCTTTATAGTGTCTCTGAAACTTTTCTTTCCAGGAGATGGAGAAATAATAAAAAAAAAATAAGATGGAGCATATTGCAAGTGCAGTGTAAATATGTACCTAGAAACTAGCAGGAAAGAAAGGTGTTGGGACAAGTCAGTGCTCTGTTCTCATGCTTAAGGTCAGTTGTAGATGCATCTCTACCTATACACACTGTGTGGGAGATAAAGCATTTAGGATCCACTTGCTGTCACTATTATTCTTCATAAATGTTGGTGATCTATCAGCACTTCTAACTTAAGCTCCATGCATGGCATGTTGCAGTAAAATAACTTAGTATGTTCAGAGGAGTTGCTGAGACATGAAGACAAGACAGGATGAGAGCTTTTGGAAAACTGCAGAAGAGAATGGAAATTGATGTAAAGTTAGAAAGATGGATCAGAGCCTACATCTTTGCTTCATTCCCCTCTGCCGCAACAAAGGCAAGACTAAGTGTGCTCTCTCCCAGCGTTGTAATTTGCAGGAAGAAGTAGCATGTAAAAGCAAAGGAGGACAAGTGTATCCCACTCTATCTTGCTAAAAGGCAATTAAATGAAACTCAGTCCGGTCTCCTTTGCAGAATATAATGAGTCAGCTACCAGTTGTAGGGGCTTAGATCTGCCTAAGACTAAAGTCCTCTGTGTTTTCCTCCAGGGACAGTGTTTTTGCAGCTACCATATTCCAAGCGGAAATTTTCTTGTGGGCAGCAGCGACGCCGGCGCAACTCCACTAGCTCCACCAACCAGAACATGTTTTGTGAAGAGCGCATTGGCTACAATTGGGCCTACAACACCATGCTGACGAAAACATGGCGGTCCAGTGCCACTGGGGATGAGAAGTTTGCTGATCGGTTGCTGAAAGACTTTACAGACTTTTGCTGGAACAAAGATAGCCGGCTTGTTTTGTTCTGGACTGATTGTCTAGATAAGATGCATGCTAGTGCTCCATGAAATAGGGTTGTATCTCGTGGGGAGACAGCTGGAAGTTTACCTTGTGGCAAGGAAGTAGAGGTGAAGGATGACTGGAAAAAAGCCCCTCTGTTGGATTCATCTTGAGGCTCCAAGAGGACCTGATCAATATTGCTGTTGATATTCAACAGAATTTGATTAAGCCCTTGGAAAAAGAATCTAGTCTCTTGGCTTGCCAATATCTGCCACTTGACCTCAGCTTGGTTTCAAATAGCTGCAGTCCTTGATTGCCAAAACTTGAGTTAGAGCAGAGGTGAAGGAGGGAGAGTGCAAATGGTGTCCAAGGGCAGTTAGATTCAGCACAGAGTGTGATGGTAGCAGCTTACCGTCATTAGAAATGATTGGTGCCATTTGCATCTGATGTGCCTGACAGCAGCCTGCCTCTTTCTCTTTTGAGGTGTCCCTGATTGTGTGAATATGTAAGATAAAATGTGAGAGACACTTGTTACCTTTCATACTTGTAAATAAGTAAAAATGCAGAAAATCACGTGACCTGATGTTTTGTTGTAACTCCAGACAGCAATACAGAATCAGGGAGTAGAGGAGGATAACTGCCAAATACTGCTTCTTATGTACAGCATGATAATGAAATGTTCAAAGTTCAGTGGTGGAGCTTTGTCCTTTAAGCGTCCAGGACTTTCTGTCTCCAGCTCTGGATCTAGAACAGTGTCATGCAGCAGGAGCAGGAAGCCAGTTGGCGTCCTCCAAGGCCAGCATCCAAGCTGAAGGAGAAATCGAGGGCAACTGAACACAAGGTGCTGCTGACTCGGGGAACAAGGAGGAGTATGAGCAGATTTTTAGGGTATGTGTGCATGCAGCAGAACGAAGATGCCTAACGCTCAAGTATGTAGTCTTTGTCTTTGCAGAGAAGGCTCGCATATGGCGCACGGACTAGCCATGAGCTAGTTACTTAAGTGGATCCAGGGTGGGTTCACAACCAGCACCCGGTAGCGCTGTGCGTGGGGGGGCTGTTGACTCCTGCTGCAAGATCGTTACTATTGTTATCTTGTCTGTGCTAAATTGAAGTCAGCAGAGGGCTGACACGTTCCCAGTGGTGTTCTGAGCTGATTCAAGGAAAATCGTGGCTGCTTCAGTTTTATCCCCTAAACTAAGTCTGGATAACTTATGTGTTATTAGACAGTACCCACCTAGAAAAGGTGGGTTTGAGCTGCATGCCTCTTCATTCACTTCATCTAAGTGTGTCAAAATGACCAGTGCACATCTGATCCCCATTAACATCTTAAAAAATACTCTCTACTATGAAAGCAACTTGCTGCCATCTCCTCTACACCGTTTTACTATGGAAGTAGCAGTTGCTTTGTGAAAGCGATTTAAGGGGGGTGGGAGTGCAGAGGCCGCCCTGCACCACCCCGCGTCTGCCAGGGCCTGGAGGCCAGCAGCGGCTCCGCACCTCCAAACCCGCATCGCTTTTAAAGCTGCAAAGCTCCTTTTTGGTTTTTTTTTTTTTTTTT